ATACAGATTTCAGTATTCTGAGCCCCTACTCTCCCCATAACTGACCGCAACAAAAGTCCTACATTATTCAATTAAAATAAAGAAGTAAAAACAATAAGTGTGGCTTGATATTGAGTAAGAAAAAGGTTGATAAACGCTGTGAGAATGGATCTGCGGGTAGCATTCGCTCGCGATCTCAAGTCTACAACATACGTTTAGGGAGCTATATAGAAGCCTATGGACATCCCGGAAAGTTGAAAATGTACGCTAAGGGCCGCCCCCTTGCGTTGGAAAAAGCCGACACAGGGGACTTGACATAACGTCAACATAGGCCCACCTGGGAGTGAGGATGTGTTGGTTCTGAACAGTGAATATGAACTGCTACCATCTAATCGGAGATATAGGGTCCCACGATTCAATAAGGTCAGACTGAAGCACTCCTTTGTGCATCAGTCAATCCTCACAGTAAACACAGAGCTAAATCCCAGATCAAATGCACGCTGAAGGCTCTTTGAGCATGTTTTCTCTCACTGATTGTGCTGTTATGTTAAATGTTTGTTGTTTGTGTTTCATGTATTATGTCTGGATATTTGTCTGTTGATGTTGGACATGGAGCTGCTGTGACGCAAGTCAAATTTAGAAAGGCTAAGTACCAATGGCGAAAAACGTAACTGCAACTTCATGACACTTCCATTTTTCAAGGCTATTTATTCAAATCAAAATAATTCCAGAATGCTTTTTTTCAACTATTGCCAGTTCAGCCCAAACAAGTCAGCCCTTCATCACACCAACATTTAATGCGAAGAATTAGAAGTATATTTCAGAAACAAGTTAATAAACATCAGATTAGATCTAAACTACGTTTTGCAGAATGTGGGCAAGCTCCTCTCTTTGGATACTTCCCGTCTGATAGTCTGAAATTATTTTGCTGCTGTTATTAAAGACTGCTCAGGAACGTGGACATGCAACTAAAACCCTCCACCTGCTCCCTTGACCTTATAAGAATAAAGACAATGGATAAAGTCCTGTATGAGATTGTGCTAACTGTGTTGGATATTCTGGCTCTGTTTTAGATGGCTTTATAACCTATTAGTCTGGTCACTAAAACTAGTGTTGGTTCAGACTTGGTTCAACTTGCAAATACTAAAGCCAGAGAGGAGCCAAATCATGACATAAGTGTTTTTGCAGTTTTTTCCAGCAATGACAGTGCAAACAATGGCTAGCTGTGTCACAAAATTGAATTGCAAGCATGACTTCTCCAATAACCTTCTATTTTTCCCAAACGACTTTCTACTTTCTATCATACTCATGATGAATCATTTATATGGGGATTATTTGAAAACAGCCCCAAATGTAGTCAATCCCTCCTTCTTTTCTCCTCAGACCTCTTTTCACTTTTGCTTCCATCTTTGTTTGTGGTCACTGTTTGATTAAAGTTTTGGTTTGTAGTTGCTGAGCCACTGATCTCCCATTCTCATTGTCCTCTATGTGTGTGAAGACCCAAAACCATTTCCTGTGTCTGCAGTTGGAGTTACCTTACCTGTGACTTAATTGGGCAGAATAAGCCCATTTAAGATACATCCTACATGCATGTATTTCTGTCCCCTGCTTTGTTTTAAAATCCTTTTAAATGTGTACCTTAATCTTACTTCACAATAGAGCCTTTATACAAAAGGTGGGTTAACATTTTTGAAAATATTATCCTGCTTGGACCCTGGAGACCATGAAATCAGATGAATATCAAGAGAAAAACAAGAATTGCAAAACTCTCTGCAGAATACAGCTACTTTATTTGAGTAATAAAAAACGTATAGCATAATTAAGAGCCCATAAATACAAAACACAATTTTTCCATGACAGGATTTAATTCCTTAATCTAAAGGGTAACTTTTAGAACACCACCACAATGACTTTAAAGAAGTGTGACCATGTCATAACCATGTCATCACACCTGTCATGGACAAGAAAGAGTCTTTAGTTCACACATTCAGTGCTATGACTGTAACTACCAATCAATATCCGTGATAAGCTCCTTCCAAAATTCCTAAACAAAGATCGAACAACTTCAAAAGATTGTAAAAAGAAATGTATATCAAGACAGGGTGCTATAGATTCTAATGTGTGTGTGTTCTCTCTCTGCAGGGATAATCGACCAAACCACCATGTGTGTTAGCTATAAAAACAGGTAAGATAATATGAATGACACTTAGTGCTTTTATCCTAAATGATTTACTATCTTGTTTATTATCATATGGACAGTTAAAAACACATTTCCCTTTATAATGAAATGGCAATTCCACTCTGAATGCAGTAGACCAGAATCAGATCTGTCAATTGGTAACTGCCAGAAGAGGGCATGATCCACTGTAGATCAAATATTCTCTGTAAAACACCAGTATGCTTTCAAATGAGACAAAAAGAAAGCTTTGAGCATTTTCTGACCCAGTTTCTGTTGTGCAGCAGCTTCAGCAGGCTGAGACTCTAACACAAAGTCTCTTCCCTTGTAGTTTGTGCCTTGCAACCAAAGTTAGTTGATGTTCAAAAAAGGGCCATATAAGGGATTCCAAATGTAATTCACTTAGTGATGGGCCATTAGATGGGGAAACTCAGTGAACCTGCAACTATTCACAGGCTAAGACCGAAGGCTACATATAAATATAAAAGCTTTCAATGTTTTCTTTAAGGATGACTGAATAGATTTTTGTATCTAACCGTACACTGCCCTGCAGGTAGTGACATGACTCAGTTCTGACCCCGGAGATGCCGAAGAGACGAGACATCGTCGCCTTTGTGTTGATCGTGTTGCCTTGGACACTGCTCATCACGGTTTGGCACCAGAACACCGTCACTCCTCTGCTTTCTACTCGCAAAGGTAAGTGTAAAAAGTTCAGAGTAATATTGTAAAAAAAATTCCCATTCATATTTTTCATAGCCGTACACAAAGGCAGTAAGGTGCTTCTATAACTGTGTTCTAACTCAAGATAAAAAGGTAATGTGTTGATGAACCAAGGATGTAACGCACAGAGAATTGGGTCTGTTTAAAAATGGTTCAGCATCGAATTGTCTACAGTTTAGTCACACTTTTTCATTTAGGAAAACAAATTGTCAAGAGCAAACCTATATATCATATATATGCATTAGCTTCATGTAGCACAAGTTCCCATCCAGATTTGTACAGACTTTAAGATTATTCCTACACTGGTACTTCTACTGAAGTACAAGATCTGAGTACTTCTCCCACCTCTGTTAAAGACAGTCCACACTTTTTTTTATAACAACAAATTGTCAAGAAGAAACATTAATCTGAATATACAATAGCTACATGGTGTCAGGGTTTGACACAGAGCCTCACTGTAATCATTTATTTTCCGCAGATGACAGACGACTTGGTCGCTCAAACTCCAGGAATACTTTTGCTTTCAAGGAGTCGTGCTCACATCAGAACCGGGACATGGTGGAGGTGGAGCGCACCGAGTTTGTCTACAGCCGGCCTCCACCATGGTCCGACATCCTGCCCACTATCCACATCATCACCCCAACCTACAGCCGCTCGGTGCAGAAGGCCGAGCTGACGCGCCTGGCCAACACTTTGCTGCACGTCCCCAACCTGCACTGGATCCTGGTGGAGGACTCTCAGAGGAGGACCACTCTAGTCAGCAATCTCCTCCAAGAGACTGGACTCAACTACACACACCTCAACGTGGAGACACCGAGAAACTATAAGGTACGAGGGGACACTAAGGACCCCAGAATACCTCGGGGGACCATACAGAGGAACCTGGCCGTGCGCTGGCTCAGGGAGACCTTCAGTGAAAACAGCATCCAGACCGGGGTGGTGTACTTTGCAGATGATGACAACACCTACAGCCTGGAGCTGTTTGAGGAGGTAAAGCAGAGCAACATTCTTAGAGCTGAATTTCTCTCTGCAGGTGTGTTCACACTGGACACGAAGCAAGTTTGACATTTGTGTTTAAAGGGGCTCTATGTAGATACCACCTACAAAAAAATAAACATACTTTGCCGTTCGTCAAAGTTATGCCAAATAGCTACTGACTGATAGGTAAAAACAATGAATGAATGCTTTGACGAGTGTAAACCCAAGACGGCTGGCAAACAAGTTTTAGAATGCGTGATTTTGAATGGAGATTGAATGGCTCATGCTAGCCTTAATTAATTCACCATGCCAATGACAGTCTGTGGTTTGTACATTTATAAATAGTTTCTGTACAAGTATGAGGAACTGTGAGCTCCCGAAACCCGACCCTTTCCCAGATGTTTTTACCTGTGTTATGTCTTTAGATGAATGTACATTTTGAAATGTTTAAATTGCTCATGAGAGATCTCTGCTTTTGTTTTCCAATTACCAGATGCGTTATACCAAAAAGGTGTCGGTGTGGCCGGTGGCCTTTGTGGGGGGCTTGAGATACGAGTCTCCTAAAGTAAACACCCTGGGCAAGGTGTACGGCTGGAAGACGGTATTTGACCCCCACCGACCCTTCGCCATCGACATGGCTGGGTTTGCAGTAAACCTGCGCCTCATTCTGTCCAATCCTCAGGCTTTTTTCAAGTTACGAGGGGTGAAAGGTGGTTATCAAGAGAGCAGTTTATTGAAAGAGCTGGTTATTCTCAGCGATTTGGAGCCTAAAGCTGCTAACTGCACCAAGGTAAGAAAAGGAGGCTCTCTGCTTCAATAAAATGACTTATAATAACTTTGAATTAGCAATAAAACATACTTCTTCTGTAAATGCTGCTAATGTAAGGCGATGTTTCTTGAGAACCCTGGCTTTCATAACAATTTAAAGCACACAGTCATCTTAAAGCCAATTCTTATTCAATTATCGCTCAAAATACTATATTCTGCCTCTAGATATTGTGTAGCCAGCATGATGTAGTATATTGAAACTGCACAAGACGAAATGTTGGGATAAAAGTTCATTTTTGGCTCTACTCCTGCTTGTCTCCATCACTTTATTCTTGCCGCAGGTATTAGTCTGGCACACACGGACAGAGAAGCCTGTGCTGGTAAATGAGGGCAAGAAGGGATTTACAGACTCTGATGTGGAGATATGACATACTTCACATCACACAGGTAATAGCAGAGATTTAAAAAATGCAAATTACTGCACTCCCACACAATTTTCATGTTTGGGGATGGGCCAAAGGAGAGCATATTTGCACCTGAGATGAGGACCTTACTTGAAATATCTGTCTGTATTTAAAGGTTTGTCTCATGCTGTTTTTTTATGATTCGTTATCAAGTAGTAATGTTTTTAGCAAAACTAACAGTGTGACTTTGGGATGGTAATGTTAGGCCAAACTAATATATCTAAACCACTATTATGGCTTACACAGCAGGTTTACACATAATATTCACTGTCCCCAGAGGATGAATCCCTTGACATTTAATTAATCGCTTTCATGAGCTTTTATTTATTTTTATGAGTGAATAATTAAATGTATCCATATCTACTGAATATAATACATATTTCAAATGGCGCCCATAGAATAAACCCAAATGAATATTAAAATCCAACCACTTTCCACTTAGCACCATAGACAGGTCAATAAAAGGTTTTACATTTGAAATGTCTCCCCAAAAATGTTGGTTTATGCCAGAATACCTGCAAAACTGATGACATCATCATCAGCCTCGGCTGTTTCTTGTAATTAGTGCTATTTAGCAAATGTTACATGTAAAAGTGCTAGTTACTAAGATGATGAACAAGGTAAACATTATGCCTGTTAAGCATCAGCGTGTTAGCACTGTCATTGTGAGCATGTTAGCATGCCAAAGTAAGCATTTAGCTCATAAGGGCTTCACTTAGGCACGAAAGCTTTGCTGTATACTTTTAAAGTAATGCTTTTAACATATATGTTTGTGCTTTGTCTGTGCTTTCAGGAGCAATTATTCATTGGATTAGCTAGGGTCAAAGACATTATCAAAGCATAGTAGCTGTACTTCAGCAATGAATGCATACCTATCCATCCAAGGAGGCAGCACAAGCATCATGCTTAAACAGACTACAGTAAGCACAACTGCACAGAACAAGCCTGCTCAGAGCGATGGATGATGAGACACTAAAAGGAGTCGACAAAAGAAGCTTGCCCACTGAGGTCTCATCTGAGAGCTAAAAGAAAGGATATTACATGATTCAAACTGCAGGAAGGGACGGCACGGCAAGCAATAAAGAGCCCTGTGAGTGCAAACAACACCAGCCGAGCATCCAATCAGCATTAAATAGGGCCCTTTTGTTCTGAAGCGAGCTGGCTGTCTGGCACAGGGCTGCACAGCGGAACACAAGGGGCCCTTGTATAAAGTGAGTCAGCTCTGACTGACAGACTGCACTGAGGGGATCTGAGCCCTCCCCACTATACTGTACAACACTGAGCTATTAAGATAGCACCCTGAACCCAGCACTAATTAAGAGTCCTGTTACACCTTAACATACATTTGCGTATGCCCAGCTGTCACAGAAACACATGCACTTGAGAACACGGAGCAATGATTTATTACACTGAAAAAACTGAAACGTTGACTTAAATTAAATATATTATGTCAACACATTTCACATAACTCTATGAGGTTAGTTAAAAGCAGTAATATTAAGTTGAACCTATTATTCATTTAAAGTTAATAGTATTGCTTTTAACTAACATAATACAGTTATGTGAAATATTTTGACATAATACATTTTATAAAAAAAAAGTAAACGTTTCAGTGAACTGTATAATAGTCTTCTCTTAGTCATTTACTTAAGATTATTTTATTTATGATATTCTGTAAAACTGAGGTCTACTTATATATAGAGAAGATGTAATATCCCTACTTTCCATCTTCGTCAGCTTGTTAAGGGCCCACTGATCGAACAAAAGGATTCTCAGAAGAATTATTTATTGTTCGATAGTAACTGGTACATTCACGTATTATTCATCAGTTATGCATGTGCGAGTCCATGGAATATGAAGCCATTACTCTGAACACTGGACGTGCATCCTTTCAAATTGCCACATTAAACAATCACAATTATTCCCACCATGAATGACCAACTGATGGGGGGATTCAGGATGATTTCATACCCCACTGACTTGCACTGGCACAACGTACAAATGTTATTTAGACTATGGGACTGTTAGGAGTCTGGTCAGTTCTTCATGTGTCAGGCATTCAAAGACAATGTTCACTCAATGATAAATTACTTATGTTGCTGCAATACAACTTGTGTTTCATATTAAAGCTGTTCACATTAACTTTGTCTTTGTAATGCAATAAATGTTAAGCCATACATATTTACTATAAACATCAAATATAACTTCCATCCCCAGCAGAACGTATTACTCTTTTAAACAATTTGGACGCCGTTGGCAAGAGAATATACTTCTTCTCTGTGTTAAAAACCACTTGCACTAAAAGTATTCTATGTACATAGCTACACAATACTCACATTTGAACACCCCAATCTTTACATATGTGCACATTAAAAAAAAAAAAATTGTTCTGAACTGCAAATTTCAAGCTGATCTAAAAAGAACATTCACTGGATTTCTGCTGCCATTCCAAGATCAGGTGTATCCTCAAAGAGGACCTTAAAGTCACCCTCCTGCTCTTCAAACACTATGACCTTATGATTCAAACAAAAAAGAGAGACAGAGAAGAGAGTTAGAGCTTTGAAACATGACTGACTAGCTGGGGTCAAATGAATCTACCATTACAATGACAATGAGAATGAAGTGTATTTTGAGAAGTCTGAAGCTATTCATTTAACAAATGCTGTTTTGTTAACATTTGTACCTGGTTGATTCCACTATTGATAAAGGGGCCGGGGAGGTAGAGAGCCTGCTGGGGGCCAATCGACCAGTAGCGACCCAGATTAATACCGTTGATAAACACTGCGCCTTTCTCCCAGGCCTGTGGAGCCAAAGACATGGTTTCACAATGCAATCATGAAGTATTTCTTTTAAAAAACACACTAAAACTTTTACGTGGCATACAACTATGAGTTTAATTTAACTTACTGGCAGCTTCACAAACGTGTCACTCGGATACCCGTATGCAAACAGCCTTCCCATGAAAAATCCAGGGAAGCTAGGAGTTTCAGGGAGGGATTTCCAAGGTGCCTGATAGAGACTGAAAAAAAGGTTTCCATTTAAACACAGTATTACAGCATAATGAAAGAGAAATCCTTTCATTTAAATAAAGCGTACAAACCTATCAATAAAGCCAGGTTTCATATCCAGGCTGTAAATCGTAAAATCCCGCAAGGGGATGTTGTTTAATAAAATGTCTCCCACAAGGCCTGCAAGAACATAAATCAAAATAAGCTTTTACAATACCTGCTGAGTGCTTGAGTGATTTAACAGCAGGCATGGCAATGCACTGCATATTGTCTGTAGATCACCTTTATGTTGTTTGTCAAGGTCCCTTCCCTGATGGACTCTTCCACAGTTCTCCACCAGCAAACTTAAGGTGCGTCGTCCCTGTAAGGATGGATTGTGTTTTGTTTTTCTTTTAAAACGTTTACCAGTCAAGATGCCGACACTTCAGAATCCTTCCAATCAATTACTATGAATGAGTTGTAGATTAGATAATAGACATTTGGCCTTCATGGTAAAACTTGAAGCCATACCTTACCACCAGGAACTGCAAGCTCCAGGTTCTGGCGCTTGAAAAGGCCGATGTAGCTTCTGTCTACGAACACCTAGGGAGAAGAATATAGATGTTGATTAAATTATATTATAATTCATAACCATAGACACTTAATACATCATCAGAAATACATCAAAGGTGGCTGAAGGCTTACCGGATTTCACGACTTTTCAATTATCTTCTATATGCTTTATGTCCTAAAATGTGTACAATGGGCATGCCAACAACACGGATAGCCTGATAGCCCGGTAACCCACCCTGGCTTTCGCTTCATATATTTTGTACATTTGAAAGTATTTATGTTCTGAATTGTGGTAAGAGAGCATCTTCCCCCAAAAGGTCAAACCTCTCCTGCATCTGCATTGGTGAGTGAGTCCATTCTATAACGTACAATAAAGACTCACTAGCGCTCGGTCTCGGACGTTATCCCCAGACTTCAACAACCCTCCGCTGGTGATTGTAGTTTCATACAGCGTGTATCCGTAGGACTGTCCGTTCCCATTGTTCACAGGTAGATTCTCCATGCTCACAGGTTTGGGTGATTTAAATGGCTGCAAACATTTGAAGAAAATAAATTACCAAGGATTCAAAAGAATATTTTTTTCATTACACATATATACAACTTATCTTACATAAAACATACTCCCTCAGTGAAGCTCAAAGCATCCCATAATGACAGGTGCTGGTACATGATGGCTGGTTCATAAGCCTCCCTGTAATGCAGGGCTGTCATGTCAGGTAAACTATCTCCTCCTGTACAACAAGGTCAAAGACAACATTAAAACAATAAATTAAAGAGCCTGTGGTTTCCCCCATCATCCAAACCCATCAATTTTAGTAAATATTGTCCCCTTGAAACCGTTACTGAACTGATTTGGGATATTTGTACTTTGACAACCATTAATCTCCCCTTAAATGTTGACCATATTCTGGATCTTCTCGGGGATTCTTTAAATCCCGCCAAATTATGTGTAACGTAATTGCGGGCCAAGAGCTCCAGCTGCACTGTTCCGGATCCCAGCCTCTGCATGCAAACGCACGATGGCGCACACAGCAGCAAGCTCAGACAGCGATGACAGTTTAATTTTGAACGTGTCTGAGAGCTCATATGAGGCTGAAGGATCGGAAAGTGATAGTCATGACATCGTAGACGATATTAGCTATATGCCCTACAGATTCGAACCATATGCCTCTTGAGTCTGAATCGGATTAAACGAACTCCGAGTCATAATACGGTCATGTAGCCAGTGGCGGACTGGGACTAAAAATCATCCCGGGACTCTCGATCGGCCCACTTCGGTACCGCTAGTAAATTGTCAACGGGGGGAGTGGGGGATGTGCTAGTGACTTATCCGACCGGCCCACTTCGGTACCGGCCCATCGGTATTCGTCCCGATGGCCAGTCCGCCAATGCACCCAGCCCACGTAAACTGTCAACGGGGGGAGCCTCGCTGCGGGGAAACGGTGGACCTAGTGTCCCGATCGGAGTGGGAATAATAATATTAATAATAATCATAAATCATAATCCGTGCATTTTATCCATTAATTTCCCCAACATTGTGGTAAAAAAAAACACACGTTTAATCCACGTTGGTGTACTCCAACTACAAAAAGCATCGGTTTGTTTTTTCATCAGGAAATGCAAACCGGCTCAAACAAACAATTTTTAAATCATCATCCTCACGATCATTTAATGTATCATATATTCGCCGAATTGACATGAACGCATTAATAAATGTAGTTTCACCCACTTGAGTTTACAACTACAAAAATAATCGGTTTGTTTTTATATCACATCCGACGGGAGGAAATTCAGCAGCTCTCACTACCGATTTTTAATCCTAATTTAATCATCTTCACCACGATCATTTATGTTTATGTTCGCCGAATTGACATGAAAGCACTGACAAATATGAATATACTGTCGTCAACTTCATTAAAACGTTATTGATGTGCCTAAACTCAGTAATTCACCATTTCTACGCATGACAACACACTTTGTCCTTGTTTGGCTCTCTCGCCGCACAGTGAAGCATTCCCGCATTGACGTCACTTCCAGCTTCCCCCAAAACTTCAAAATGAGTTGAGGGAATTTCCTGGCAATGTTCGAAATTATTGATATTTATCGGAACGGTTTCGCACCTTCTTTTTTAAGCTGACGGTTCGAGATTACTAGTAGCCCAATATTTCATTGCACAACAGTTGTTGGGAGGCTGTCACTGGCTCTTTAAGCCTACTTTAGATAAGAAGATATTTTACGAGATAACTGCTACAAAACAACATCTTAAACATTGAAAATGATCATTATGTGGATTGTGTAACGAAGAAGAGGGTGAACATTTGTTTTTCTGATATATGTGTTAAAAGCTTATGGACCAATATCTAAAACTGGATAAAGCCACTTAATATTGAAAAACATAGTACACGGATACAAATACAATTATACCATTGGGTAAAATGCTGTATTTACTAAGGTAAATCAAAATGCTAAAAATGCAATAAAATTAGCTCTATCGGAGAATGGGATTATGGAACAATAAATATTATCTGTATGTCGTGTAATATCAGAAAAATAAAAAAATAATTACACATACAGGGGATTTGCTTTGGTATATGGTGCAAACCAAGACACAGAAAGCTCGCTTTGGGTATATCGGACTGTCTAACTAGTTATTTAAAATGTAAAAGGGATCCTATAACCTCAGTTTTTTATCCTTTTTATTTTTGTGTTTGAGAGCTGGTATTATCATCTCATCATACTGTTTGTCCTTTATGTGCATCTCTTGCCTGCACTATATAACATCAGGCAAAGATGTATGTCATGGAATGTAATCACATTCTTCATTAAATGTAGTGTTTATCTTACTGTTGTATCTGGAAAGTAGATCCCTGAGGAGATGGTATTTTGGAGTGTACTCCCCCGCTTCAGACAAGGGAGCGTCATAATCTGAAAAACATCATGATTTAACATAGATAAACTATCATCTGCTGCCACCTGCTGGGCGTTAAGGTCAATGCTGTTCTGAAGACAAGGATCATTTCTTTAAATCCTGACATGGAAGTGCTTCATCATTATAATAAAATCCTTGTAAATTTGCATCAGAGACAAAACTACTTTGTTTGTGAAAGGGCAGAATATAACCAACCGTAGCTGGGGACCAAAGCTTTGTAGGAAGGATCAGCCAGTGCTCCGCTCATGAAGCCAAAACTGGAGCCTCCGTGGAACATGTAGAGATTCACAGACATGCCTTGCCTCAGAATTTCTCTCATAGTGGAAACCATATCTGACAAGAATTTCAACAAGTTACATTTACAACAAATCAACTTCTTAAAAACCTAAATGTACATCAAGAAATCACATTACAGTGTTTAACCCAAGTCAATTAAAGTGTTTTGACCCTCTGCTGACCTCTTTGTCACAGGCTAGAATAAATAAAGATTGGCCTTAATTTACATTTCCATTGTTGTCATGTAGCTGCGTTCTTCATGCAAAAAGGACAGCAGGACGAAAATAATAATTACTGAGTGAGATAGGAAGCATTTGTTTACAGCAGGGTGACTTGATATTAATTTGGCTGGGTAAGAAATATTTATGAAGAGAGTCAGTGGCCTAGAAAAAGCCATCAGAATAGACATAATAAATTGTCTTTTCGTCCTGTGGCATATGAGAAACCAATGGCGTTCAATCTGAAAATAGCCTTACGTTAATTAGTTTTGTTTGTTACAGAATTGGATTTTACCAATATGTTTTAGTAGATTTATTTCAGTCAAAAATGTACTTTAAAAGTGTTGCTGGTCAAAAAGCCACAAACAGACCAAGAAGAACTTACATTGTATTCTCCAGGGCACGAGTGAATCACATTTCATGAAAATATTTGTGTTCCAGACTAAAAGTGAAATAGTAAGTAATATTGGGAAAGATTAAGACCTATATATGAAAAAGCAATGCTGAACAATCCATTAATCTTAAGCCCCAAGCCTGTTTTTTAGGTTTCAGGCTCAAAAATGACATTCCCAGAACAAATGACCATTATCTTCTCTTCTAAAACGGTTAAATGAATAATCTTTTTTCCCAAAGTAATGATAAACCTGTGAGTTGGATGTAGAAAAGTCAGAATCAATATAGATGTTTTTTATTTTAAAGAAAATTCAGATTGAACATGGTAAAAAACTGTAAATTATAGTGTCCGTCCAAAACATATTTTGTACTTATAGTGAAAACTAACCTTGGATGATGGGTTAGTAGACTAAAAGCTTTAGGAATCCAAAGTACAACATATAATAAGTACCCTGTATCAAGATTGATGCAAAACAAGTGATATTTGATCTTTTTAGACAGACTTAGCAAAAAGAACCTCTTCTGGGGCCATTTGGGTGGATTGTCCTTATCTCTGGCCCCCCTTCTTCGATGTTGACATGTGACATCTCNGAGAAAGAGATCGAGAGCGCTCATTGTACCAATATGATTTGATATAAAACATAACATATTATTATTCTGATCATTACAGCCCTAAATAATAAAAGTAACCTCACGTGTGGTGATATCTGTAGTTGTCTGTCTTATTTTTTGTTGATGTCAAACAACATGGATTTCAAGTCAATATACGAAAGTAAATCAAGAAATGAAGTAAACAAGCTGATCTTCAAGTTCCTCAAAAACACTGGTCTGAGGACAAGGATTTAATATGAACATTTAATAAATCAACAGTAGGTGGCGATATATGCTCCAAGTGGAAGCGATTCACCATTAAAGACAAAAGAAGAAGAAGAAGAAGTAGTAGAAGAAGAAATACGCTAACACAAACAGGTACAACACTGTTACTCTGTTTTTACTGACATGTAACATTTGATTTCACCTTGCTCTATTTTTTTTAATTCACGTTCAAAAACGGGAACATTTTCGGGAGTTTCAACCGGGTACCAGCCACCGAAACGGGTCACCCATCCGACTGTGTTTATAGTAGCACAAACGCTAACATTAAGACTACAAGCTCACTTGGGGTTGAGGCTTTTTTACACGTTGCTTGACTGTCTTCCCCACATATCTGATCTAAACATAGTAAAGTGTATTGGGGAAAATGTATTTAAAGTTATTTCATAATTGTGACATTTATTGCACTTTTTGATGGATGAATGATGCTCAAACTGAGGGGGCAATGCCCCCTTTTGCCCCCTCGTGGCGCCGGGCCCGCTGTGAAGTCAGGGGTTCTGATACAGACTCCCAATCGGATCCTCAAACTGTCTGTTGCTGCAGTAGCAAAGGTTGGACCCAGCACTCTATTAGCCCGCTGTGACTCCCGTTGCTCGTATTGTGCTGGCTACATTCTAGTTGCTGCGGCTGCTGACTGGAGTTCCGTCTTTGGAGCTGCCTAGTGCTGATAACTCTTCTCCTTGCAGGGTGATCTCCGATACGTGGTGAGAATAAGAAGATGGTGCGGGTGATTTCATGTTTTCTGCCACTAGAAATGTAATCCAATGCACAAACCATAAAAAAGCCTAACGGTTAAAACAACTTTTGACTGTTGTTAATCAGTGGAATAAAATGTACTTTGAAACAAACATCAAGCTCACTCAATTCTAAGGCAGTCGATATAGTTAAAACAACAAAAGAGCATACATGCAGTTTACTACACAAAACCTGTACATTGCATTTTTTTTTGTAATGACATTGTTATAAAATTGCAACAATACATAACTCCAGGGTTGCAATTGCAAGCTGTACCTGGGTCTTGCTAAAATTGGGTCAGCCCTGTTGGTATTCTGTTTTGTGTTGTCGATAGACAAAGACTGACTCACACTACCCTTATTATGCGTGTTTGAATGTGAGCTCAAGTGGTGTTGACTCTGTGAGTGTGTATGTGTTGGAGAGAAGGACAGACAGGAGGCACGCAGAGACAGGGAGGAAAATCTCAGTCAACACCGTAGAAAGTACATTATCTGAAAGGAAAACAAGAGAGTTGGACTGAAAATCTGTGGATTTCTTTTTCTCTTGACTGCACAGCCCTGTGTGTCTACAATGGACAGCTGTGCATGTTGGGTTTGATAAGAACAACAGCTAGGAGAAAATGAAACGTGACAGTAATTAAGTTTTAGCTTCTTTTTCATGACTCAGTAGTAACTTGTGGTGTAGAGGGGCCCTGGTATGAGGAGCAACACATTTAACAAAAACATATCGGCCAGTCGGACTTCATACTAAAGCTCATGTGGACGATTTATAATAACTCCGTCTGTCAGTGTGCTATTTAGCTAGTGAACGTTATCTATATCTATCTATCTATCTATCAATTTGTGAATCAAGCTAGTTAACGTTCGCTATCCAGCTACCTAGCAAGCTAGCTTACCTTAGCTACCCATCTAACAAGGAAGCTTGCAAATGTTAGCTATCTAGTTAGCTATTGCCAAATGTGTCGCCTTTGTAATTTAAATTGGTATTATTATTTTACACCAACAAGTCTTCCAACTCATACGACGAAATAGGTCGATTGTTCAAGCGCTTATTACGAACAAATAGGTAGATTGTTCAAGCGCTTATTACGACCTATAATCACGTTTTAAAGTTTTCGACCTCTAGTGCTCCCGTTGGCTGCAAACGCTCTGGTGGGTCGTATATTCACAAATAACCCTCTCTGGAAAATCCTAAATTGTAGGATAGTTTGGCCATTAAAATGCTTTTTGATTAGATTTCTAGCGAGAAGTGTATTCTACTTTTAGAATCCATGTCCAGTGGATGTGTTGGATCTATAGTTTAATAGATATTACGAAGATTATTTGAGGTCTCACCAGGAGAACGTGTATATACTACGTCTTTCCCCCTATTCATTTCTATTGAGGGCAGCATCCATGTAAAGTTAGCGTCAACCCTCACGGGGAAAACAGACTTTCCGGTCTCGAAGTTTTCATAATAAAACCGTATTCCCCTCACTGTCAAATGATTACACATTGATATCTGCCGTACTCATCCACTAAAAAACATCAGTTTATCCTTGTTAATTACACGACATTAATTGGTTTAAATTGTGTACAATGCTTTTGTGTTTTTCCCATTTTTTTCCGATTCTGAGACACCTTTCTTTTTTCAGGGGTTTTGATAGGCTAAAACATCGAACTAACCATAATCCTCAGCTATCGCTGAAGCTTGATGATTGGATGTTTTAGCCGCAATGCACGTTGGGATATGGTGTTTATGCGATGTGAAATCCGAAAATATTTAAAATAATAATAATACTTTATTCCGAGTGTGTTTGCTTTTCTCTTTAATCACAACTAGATGATTCTCTGCATAACACACTTTTCTTAACTTCTACAACAAATTAACAGACTATATAAATACTAGGTGCTGTGCATAAGTCAAAGCGCCGTAAAGAAGGTCAAACAGGTTTCAGAAGATTAGTCCCGAGATATTTATTCTTGATGTCGCTATACATTATAAATTACGTCGGCTTGGCACATAACGTACGGCAGTACACTACC